GGGAGTTGTATCCTTCCTGTTCTAGAAGAGAGACCATAAGGAGTGCTCCAATTATCAACGAACTGCCTTTATGAGTTTGCTAGGAAAAGTCTGAACAAAAGTGTTAGAAAGGTTCTGCTAAATAGTTGTATCTAAGATACAGGAAGAACGGTGTGGCTTAACGTCAGGACCAAGTAACTCTAATTAGTTCTTCACTGTAGAGAAATCGTGGGCGTTCGCTCATCTGATTTACATACGCTTTGTGAATCTGGAAAAAGTCCATTACCTGATCCAACGCAACAATCTATGGGCGTGCCTGCAAACATATGGGAAATGGTGTTAATTTGAGAATATTCAGCATTGGAAATGGTCTCTGTCAAGGTTGCGCTATGGCCCCTCTCCTGTTTGTGTTGTACACAGATAGAATAGTCAGATGTGGCAAGGGCAAAGAGTGTATCGATGTAAGAGATGTCGAGACAAGAAGGTTGCTGTCACCAAACGACCTTGTTTTATTGGCAACTTCTGAAACTGATGTCCAGCGTTCACTGAAAAGGTTGACAGCCGAGTGCGACGTGACTGGTATGCGTGTGAACGCATCTAAAACGAAAAACCTAGTGCTTTCTCTTTCTCATGTCCATCGTGCTGCATAGATAGACGTGGAAACAATGGAACAGATGAAGTTCACTTACCTCTGGGTCTTGTTTACAGATGATGAAATATTTGAAGAAGAGATCGACCAGCGGACTAGAATCACCAGTAACGTACTGCCTGAATTAGCAGGAACCGTAATGACAAAAACAGAGGTAAGTCTGAAGACTAAGTTCTCCCTGTTTAAGTCGATATTCGTCCTGATGCTCATCTACGATCAAGAGTCGTGGGCCGTGACTAGAAAACTTCGATCCCCGGTAAACGGCTGAAATTAGACTTTGTTCGACAAATCGCTGGGCTGAGGCGTCTCGACAAGATCCGAAGTTTAGATATCTGACAAGGCGTTGGGTTACAACCGCTGCTTCTCCAAATTACGAAGTCATAACTGGAATGGTTTAGGCACATCGAGCGAATACTTCCAGCGATGATGACGAAACAGCTACCACTTACCAAACCGACCAATCCAAGACTCCGAGGCGGTCAAGAATGACCTCAGGCAAGTGTCTCGACAGGCACCGTTCAAAATTCAGCTAATTTTTTTCTGGAGCTCAAACGTTAGTAAAGGATCGGTAAGCTGAAGACGCTTCTAATGAATCCACCTCCGGTACCCAAAACGGTGAATGGTCGTCGAAATTGTGGTATTTTGTACTTGTGTGTTTATTTAACAGGGAGTTCGGCTCGCTTGCAAATTTTTTATTAGTCAGGATTTACAGAATCACACCTTATGTCACTAGTATTGTATTCTTTTCATCGGCATTAGAATAAAGACAGATTGTAATCTGGTTAAAAGGCTGGTTCCACATGTACAAGTACTTAGTTTTGGTTGCTTTACCTATCGTATTATTGTCAGTTATAGTTGTAACTGACATTTAAGACTAACAAAGTTTAAGAGCAGAGCTGCACAGAGATATAATTTTCGAGAAGGCATAATCGTTTTCAAATGCTCGCTAATGAATAAAAAGACAACCTTTCCTACATCATTCAGAACAGACAGAGTCTCAGTATCAGGCTTAATCAGTCTGATAAATCTGGTTAAAAAATTAGTTTAAATAACGAATTACCTTTGCACAAAGTCTTCGTAGGCTGACGCCAGCAAATCAGCCGCTCTTCCGCTGTGCTTGCAGACGACGACAGGCACCGGTGGCGATGAACACATATAATTTGAAGCGGAGTGAAGGGCGAGACGACCGCCGCCGATCACAAGGCACACCAATGGCATAAGTCGGGCAGTACCCAGCATAGTCTTCTGGCGTAAGAATTCTTCAAATCTCCTGCGCAACAACAACTCGGCTCCAGACCGACCCATAGTCCCATTGTCCACTAACAGAAAACATGAATGACCTTCACACAATGAAAGATAGCGACTGCGAGAAGAAAACGGATAATATGTTACAGTACGATTCTCGCCGATCAGTTTCTCTGAATGCCTAACTAATCCCCAAGGGGCAATGCCGATCACAAAAAATTTCTGTTTCGAACGTGACGAAGTGCTGCCACAAAGCGCAGCCGCCACTTGTTTTGTTACACCTAAAAGAAACGTAATTTATTATCACATTTAACACAACTCGTGTTTCGGTGCTGGCAACTCTAGAACTGTGAAAATTCTTGCCATTACTATCAGACCGTCAGACTCCATGCCTATGTAATCGAACATTGATTTATCAATATTTTTGTGTTAACAGTAATTAAAGCCACAGTAACATAAGAAGACACCTCTTCTGTTTCCATCGTTAGCAGCAAGAAAGTAAAGAAATGAATTCTATATTTAACACAAATTCAAAGTTTCCACAGCAATAACATCGGTGATCAAGAGGGAATTCCCAGAGCATAATGTGAAGATCATAGTCTACTCTCCTATGAAAGTCGCACTGTTATCAGTGTTATTAAATATTTACTTCTGTCTGGAAATATGCGAAAGCTATTACAATATATTCAGTTCAGCTTCCAGACAAACTGAAGAATAATCAACGTATATATGTTCTTAAATAGCGCATAACTCATAAGACTAGATAAAACAGCATACTGAACTGATCCCTGCTTTTAGTTGCCTAGGGGGCTCCATGATATTTGAGAACCGGCAGTGCCAGATGCATGTCGCATCATTCTGTCTACTAGAGCATCGTGGTGCCCTTCATGAATTCCATTGGCAATATTCTACCGCATAAGCATCAAAATATGTTCGTACGTTTAGGTAATTAAGAACAATGGAGCAGTGCAATACACCGTGCTTGGAGAGGTTTTGCATGATCTGCCATACTCCGGAGTAAAACTATATTTTCCCAGTTATGCAAGAGCATATAAAGAGCACAAGCTTCTGAAAGATCGTTCCAAATGAATGTGAGGTGGCTCTAGCGAACAATATAATGAGATGCATTTGACACGGCAGTCGCAAAATAGTACGGCCATGTAGATTATGCAGATATGGCTTGTTTAAATGCCCCCAGGCAACTAGGAGGAAAGGAACGATGTAATAAGCCGTAAAATTTGGTCCTGGATAAGTCATGCGCTATTTGACTTACTCAGGCATATTTTAGAGAACATATTTTTATGTTCATACATTGTTCCGCGTAAGTTTCTGAATGATGATGAAATGACGATGATGACCGATGCTAACTTGATTGAAACCACAGATCTGCGTCAAACAAAGAAGTCACTTCTTGTCTTTTGTGCTGTTCACCACAAGTACATTCTGAGCAACAAAAAACGTCAGTCTTACCATACCTGCACGTACCCCTGAAGTGATGATCCACGCCGATGTCGTCGTGGCTACTTGTAGCAGACCGCTCTCAAACTCACGCTTCAAAGCCTTTGTCATTTCGAAATCGTTTCCGCCACCATGGATGGTGATCACCAGCTTAGGGGGCTCAAATCCAAAAGCATGCACAAGAAGCTGCCAGATGTCATCAGGGTCACTGGTAAAATCCAGTCTCACGTACTGAAACAAACAACTGTAGAAAAAAGCTATGACTGGTTGAAAATGTCCCCTGCTCAGGTGAAAGTTATACCTGAGCCTTCGTGTAGTCCGCTACACCACAGAACTTCAATACGCCATAGCTGTCGGTCGGAAACGTGGCCGTACAATGCGAGATGGACCATTTGACGTTCGTCGTCTTCGAAGCTCTGTCTTCCTCCTCCTCGAAGTAGTAGTGACAAGCGAAATAGCGTCCACATCCACATCTGCGCAGGAAAAAGAACATCACTGTTTTCGAAAAGTTGCACAATTAAACGAACAGATGACATTCTGCTCCGATTTTCCACGAGTAAATGAATTGTCAGATGTCATACAAAGAGATCGATACATAATAATCTCATCGTTTAGTGGAAAGCAGATTTCATAAAACAGATAACATGCCTCATTTCTAGCTTTCACAAAAATCTTCAGTCCTTAAGTTCGGGTGAATAAACCAATCTGTGCTTGTTTAAGATTTAGTGGAAAAAAATCTGCCAGTTACCGGTCTTGTTAACAAAGTACTTTGAAACACACAGTCATCAGTGAGCAGGCGGTGACGAACATCGGTCTGGAAATAACTGCCGAAAAATCTCACAGATGTGTATCTGGCGTACTATAATAAAACGTACCAAACAGAGAATAGAAATTGGAGAAAATGTACTTCTAGTCGGAAACTGTCCTTTGATCGTATACGCGGGAAAAAAGCATACAAAATCTGGAAACTTCTGGTTGACGACCTGTGAGGAATATGAGATTTCCTACAGCAGTAAACTATGCGAAGCAAAAAATGAAAACTTTTTTCAGACGGTCGGCCATCAACAATCTAAGTAACTATACTTCAAGCTTTGCTATATTCAGATGAATAATAGCAACAACAGCAGTAAAAATAATAATAACAACTTTGGCGACTACTATCGAAGCTAGAAACAGCATGCATTGGTTTACTTAACTCTGAATATACGACCCTTCATTTCGTTCGTTACACTGTTTTAGCGTTGTTATATGCATGATTGACATTGTAAAAATATTTTAAATTTTAAATGGCTGTGTTTCATTTCATTACGGCAACGGTTAGAGCTAAGCATTAATCTCACAGCTCCAATAACACATTCCCACTAAACCCATTCGAGAGATTGGTTAATTGATCGGCTAGCTTAGGAAGAGCAGATTTTGTAGTCAGACAGTTGTACATTTTGTCATCCACATCTATAGTTAGAATTACGAAAGCATCAGTGCTAACCTAGCATGATATAGTATATCATGCTTTGAGAACATTACAGCACCACAATAACTAGTTCATTACTGTTGATATTTACAGTAGGACACTAATAATCGCACATTTACTCGACTAATAATACAACGAATTGAGAATAATAATTGCTAATAAAGTTGAGAATTTATGTGAGATCAAGCGGTAATCGATACGACTGCAATTTGTTACGAAAGATATCATATCTCTAATCATCGAGATCTTTCGATTGATTGTCGCTAATGCTGTTACAACGATCCAACAATCGGCGAAATCAGCTATAGTCAACAGAGGAAATCAATTGATCACGAGCTAACCGCGGTGTTTGCGAAGTAAACTTGAGCAGATGCAGGCGACATTCGGACAATAGTACAAAGTACGTAAAAACTTCGCCGGGCGATGATTGTCTATTCAAAGGAAGTATCTCCAAGCAATGATAAGACGGCGTCCATTAGTCGAATGTATATTACCGTGTACAATGCTAGGTGGTAGCGTCGATATAACGTAAACATGAACTGAATGAATACTAAAGATGTAAGCGACGTTCAAGCAAAAGTCACCTATAGAAAGATGTGTATTTTGCATGATCAGCCTTAGGATACCACACCTACGCAGATGTCTACCATAGACGGCTTTTCAGAAGTACACGCAGTGTGTGTATAGGCTTTTATGTCATGAAAAGTTGGCGATGAACTGAAAGTAAGTCATGCAATAAAGAATGAAACATCATGAAGGGTATTTTCCTTAATCACGAGGACATGCCATGAACCCTGATAAATTGTCAACTAAAGAGGTAGCGAAAATCAGGAAGCTGACAAACGTTGTAATAGCTTCAAACAGAATCCATCTTGGTGAAAGACGTGGGGAGGACAAAAACAACGGAAAGTCTAGAACAGGGAGACATCAGAAACGGATGCTTTACCTTAATTCGTTCGCGCTTAAAAATGGCATAAAGACAGATTATCTTATACACATCGCAAAGGAAGATCAGTCAAAGACTGACTGATACCGACGTCTCTACGCGTATTTCAACCTCCGGCCGATTGTAGGTACGCAACCAAGAGGCCTTTCTTTCTCGACGACCTGAACCATCTTCAAACTTTACCATGAAAAGACTCGTGACACTGCCGAAAGTCCAACTGATTACTCTTCGCGTTGGTAGATAAAATATACGGTTTATATGCTATTTTTGAGTATGAATATTAACACAGAAATCAAATACCCCATTCATGCTCCTTCCTTCTAGGTAATTAAGCAGATAATATCTGTTCAGGGGCCAAGGCGGCACAGTGCCAAAGAGGTCGATTCCGAATTCCATCGATGACGGATCGATTGCCAAGAAGGGATGAAATATGTTTTAATAGCTAATTTCCTTGAGCAAGCAAATTATTCCATGTTCTTTCGGTATAACCGGCAGAGAAATAGGTAGCAGGCCAGAACAGCATGGACATCATGCTATTCTGGTGTGGCCAAAGCAGAATGGACGAAATGTACCATAGCCATGCAGTGCAACACCAGTGACTCCTGCTTATGTATATTTCGTCGTGATCCACCTTACAGGTTACTGTACAGTACAAGCAGCATAACACTTAACTGTTATTCCAGAAGGTCCGTCTGATGGCGATGCCCACAGCTGTCTGTCACGAGCGATTTATCGATAAAATTAAACTCTTAGATTCCATACCTCTAAGGGTTCAAGTAACGAACGATATCGAGCATTCTGGCGATGCATGGGCAATGATATAACAAAAAACAGAAACACTGTGAATAAAGTGATTATCAGCAAGTGAGAACAGATTCTAAATGAAATTTGTGAATAGTCTGAAAAGAAATTACGAACAGCATGCTAAATCCTTCTCGAGACCACAAGGAAGCAGACAGCTAGCTGAGGAAGTAGATTCGAGAAAAAAAAGCTGATTTTTATTTACAGTCAATAAATAATTTAAGTCAATGGTTAAAAAAAGAAATACCAAAAGAAGACGAAAAACACTGTTAATAGCAATTGTAAATCAAAAATACTCTTTTTCACTCTTCAAAAAATACTCTTCCTAAGTCTGCGTTACTCAGTTGCTTAATCCTTCCAAGCTCTTGATGACGATGACACAACAGCTCGTTTCCAAAAGGCAAAAATCGTTCAAAGCTTATGCAACTTTCAGGTTCGGAAGAGAAAGATTAAGCAAGGAAGTAACCGAACGTTTGAAGCGATCAGCAATCGCAAACATGCAGTAAAACCGAGGTTAATTTTTCCATTTTCAGAGGACTTCCAAGAGCAAAAATATTTGTGACGTGGCTGCAATGTGAGAAACAACGTCATCGTTTGATTGACCTTTACCTTTCACTGTCCCCTCCCCTTACTCTCGAACTTCGAACATGGTTTTAAACAGCCGTTAATGGTCCATATTCAGCTCCATTAGCATTGGATAAAGACGCAGCGACCACCCACTTAGCCGATGGAGAATGAAGTCCATCCGATCACGCGACTGCGATCACGTAAACCAGACATGCGAACATATCAGTTCTAAATGCCTGCGTTGGTGGTGCACCTTACAGTGAAGACCTCACTACGGGGGCCATCAACAAATTCAAAAACCATTAAAATCTGATATAATCTCCCATGAGGGAAGAAGAATCTCAAGAACAAAGCCACTATTTTTACCTAGAACAAGTCGAGAGCACTGAAAGCCGTCCTCTTGAGCCGTACCTTCACAGATTGCTTTTTCGGCTGACTCAGTCTCATTCTTCCACAGTGGAAAGTAGCTGTACGACACTTCCACACGATTATTGTTCGCTCAAAAAATCTCGAACTGCTCATCAGTTCAAGCATATACTGGAATATGCCATTCCCTCTGAACCATGAACTAACCCTCTGAATATGCTCTTAAAAATAGATTAATAAGGCTACTAAAGAAGGGGGTCGATTCGTTGCCTATGTGAAAACGTAGTTCATGGTCTTCGCTTCCTGATTCATGGTTAAAGGCAACAATTAACGAGAATAACGTAAAATCCTTTATCTGCTGACGCTGGTGTGAAAGTTACCCTGTTGAATACGCTTTCTGGTGCGTCAAAAAGCATCAATAAAGGATTTTACATTATCTTTATTAAGTTTTGTCTCGAACCTTGGATCGGGAAGCGAAGACCATTAAATGGTCTTATGAAAACTCCATATTTTAGTTCTAAGTTTCCCTTCTTCCTCCTTTTTGTTTAAGATATTGTTGATAAAATTTTAAGACGTGGAATGCGGATCATGTTTCATTTAAAAAATAAATACATCATCAGCCCAAGTCAGGGCTAAGACAAATCCTGCAATGCAAAAAGTCCCCCTCTCATTTCATGCGACGTTAAAGAGCAAACCAACGTTATGAACTTAAATTAAATAATTAAGGGTAGCTTCGAAGGTCTTGTATAATTTTGCTTCACCTCAATCAGTTTATATAGAGAAGACACGCGGTTGTTAGAAGGTCTGTATTTTTATATCAGTTTTATTCCAGCATTCAATTCAGGCAAGGACGTAATCAAACAGGAAAGCGTGCAACCGTCGAAATGGTGATCTCCCTACTCTTTGGAGGTGGGTGCCATTTGCGACCCTGATCTCCATTTCGATGCCATTAAACGGCAATGCGTTATTTCTTATGACAATATCTATAACTCGATCAAATAAGCACGGCGTATGATTCGCTGTTTTCGACCATCGTACACTTGACAATGAATCAGTGACAATAAAACGACGATTGCCGATAACGTACGTCACTTTTAACGTTGTGACGGTAGTTCAGTAAATAAATCGTTGCCTGCTTCGGTCCAAACTTGACATACTTTCGATATTGCTGTGAACCAAACGAATCACGCAAAAAGACGATGTTCCGGCCAACCGATTTCCGAAACCCGTTGTCATCCTTCATTACTAACATCATTAAAGCTTATTCAAAAACTTGTTTACCCGGCAATCGATAGTTAACTATTCGTTGCATTAAAAACTATTAAATCTCCATGATATAACT